GAAAGGGCAATGTGTTGGCTAGTTTTATAACAAGTTGACACAAGCCAGAGTCATTTGTAAAGAGCCACTTGCAATTGAGAAAAGGTTACCATAAGATTTGCCTGTAGGCCAGACTGTAGTACCTTTTCTTGATGAATTATTGATGTGGGTTGATCCACTTCATTGGGGATGGTGCCATCCCTGGACACACGGTCCTGGATGATATAAAAAAGCAGGCTGAGCAAGCCAGTAAGAGTGTTCCTCCGTGACCTCTGCTTCACTTCCTCCCTCCAGCTTCCTGCTTTGAATTCCTGTTTTGATGTCCCTCAGGGATGGAGTGTGACTTAAGAGATGTAGGCTGAAATGAACCCAGAGATGACCATTAGTTCAAATGACACAGCTCTGTGAGCAATGACTGCTTGTTTGATTGAATGGGTGGGGACTTGAAAGACTAGCATCAGAAAACAGGTAAGAAGGACATCTGGGGAAGAGGGATGAATGGATGTCTCAGAATGGTCAAGGATTGTGAGAGTTTCTATTTCTCATGTAAGTGATGATGATCAAGAAGAGAGTCTTAATTATATGGGCAAACCTGTCCTCTATAGATGTTAGTTTCTTTACCTAGTGCTTGCTCATGAGCCCATGAACAGAGTGGCCATGTGGAAAGGAGGTAGGCTATGTATTGGTTCAGCACTCCCCTCATCCAGGCTGCCCTGGTGAGCTATTGTTGAGAGCTTAATGCATCACAAAGAAACTAACACTGACCCCATGATAACGAATTGTTCACTCGGGGAACCAGTCAGCTATCTGGTTAACTATACTGAACTTTTCCCATCTTAGAAGGGACAGAGATTGGTTCTCAGTAGATTAGGTACTTTCTGGGTATGAATTTGCTTTCCCTGTCCCTGTTTCTGCCAGCAGCAGCAGCAGCAGCAATGGCATCCCAGAACACCCTGCCTGTTAGCATGGCATTTCCCAGAACATCAATTTTGATCAGTGAATCCTATAGCTCCCATCACAGTAATGGGCCCATGGCCACAAAATCAACAGGTCTTGCCATTTCCGGGAAGCACCCAGGCAAAGTCTGAAAGTTGTGATGGGCTAAAAAAGCCTCAGCTCTAGGGTCAGTTAGCAGTCAAGGCCCTGAAATGGTGGCATGTCATCTTTGTCTCACAGCCACAATTGATGGGCTTTGGAACCAACAGGAAGAAGCAGTTTTCCTCACTCTGAAACCCAGCAACTCATGGAATGTTTGTTTCTTTCTAACTACCCTGAGCTCTGCTTATTCAAAGGGTCTTGTTCTCTGAAGATCAGCAGACCACCAGGGAACATACCAGCAGCCCAACTAGGAAGAGAAACCAAATGAGTGAGGCTCTCTGCCATACCCTATGGAGAAGAAAAAAATGTAACTGACCTGCCTGGACAATCCATGAGAAGGACAGCTTCTGGAAGAGGCTTCAGGAAAATACGGTTGGGTAATAATGGAAATGTGTTTCTATGAGAAGAGATGAAATAACCAGGCCTTCAGCTGTTTATTTACTGACTAAATGGAAAGAGAAGTCGAGGCTTTAAGGTTAGTAGAAGCAGACCAATCTTTTCCAGCCAGGCCCCGGAGGCAGTGGAAGATGAAATTTAAATGAAAACCTTTAATTTATCCTGTCTGCATAAGTTATAAAACAGGATTAAAATGGAATGGGGGCTTCAGGACTGAACAACGTGAATGCCAGACCAATATCACATGCACCAAATCCTTCCTGGGAGTGACGTTGAGTTCTTACTAACTCTACTAGTGCTTCTGAGTAGCTGTGTCCAAACCCCGAGAAAAAAGACTTGAAGGAAGAACTGTTTGGGTTCACAGTTTTAGAGATTGCGGCCTACAGTTCGTGGTGAGGCAGAACACCATCGTGGTAGAGGATATGGTAGAAGGGCGGTTTACCTCACGGTGGACAGGAAACAGAGAGAGGGGTGCCGGAGTGGGCCTAGCATGAAATACATTCCCAAGGGATGTGCTCCAGGATCCCGCCTCCTCCAGTGGGGTCCTACCTACTAAAGTTTCTATAACCTCCCCAAATGGCACGGCCAGATGGGGACAACGCAGCCAACAGGTGGGCTTGTGGGTGACATTCCATGTACAGACCATAGCAATGACCATATGCTGGACAGAGACGCTAAGGGAAGGGCCACCCTGTCCTTGAAGTCACCTTCTATTTTTTGCCAGCATTGACTTTGAATGAGTAGACTTGGGGAAACTGATTGGCAGGGTTTGACTCCTGGCTCAGTCAGTTTCTAGCCCTTGTGTATTTGGTAAGTCAGTTAACCTCCCTGTGCCCAAGTGTGTTTATAAGAAGAAAGACATCAGGTCAGGAGCTGGCTCAGCGAGTGAAGCACTTGCTGTGCAGATGTGTGAGCTTCAGTTTGGGTCCCCAGAACCCATGTAAGCCCTGTAATCCCGGTGCTCCTGTGGTGAGGTGGAATGTGGAGACAGGAGAATCCTTGGGAGTTCGTGAGTCAGCTGGCCTGCAGAACACCTGCTGAGCGACTGTTGTGTCTACATTATGTTTTCCCTCCCCACTCCCCACTCACATAGCAAAGCTCTATCCTGCCCCTCTGTGGGATTAGATTTGGAAATGAGGCCTTTATGGGGGTTAACTAAAGCAGGATGAGTTGATAAAGGCGGGGTCCTACACCACTGGACTAGTAAAGGGAGGACAGAAGAACATAAAGTAAAGGCCACCTCTTGCTGTAAGAATACAAGGTGGCCATTTACACACACCTCAGGGACAAAGGTCTTACCAGACACCAGCCTTGGCGTCTGGATACTGAACTTTAAGTCTCCGGAACTAGGAGAAATAAATCTCTGCTGGGTAAGCCTCCAGCCCGTGGTATTTCATTATGACAGTTGGAGCAGGTTCATGTAGTAAACCCGTGGAAGTTTAAATGTTCAACGAGAGACAATGGGTCTGCGCTGATAAGCAGCCTCTGATGCTAGGCATGACATCACTTCCCCACTCATTGTGTGGAAGTCTGGTATTTCCCATAGCAGGTAATTGCAGACAGTCATTTGTCATCTATATACTTGGCACTGCTGTCCTCTGGATTTACTTAGACCATAACTAAGATTTTCCTGCAAAATTTGTTGAGGCCTCACCTAACATAGTGGCACACACTTGAAATTCTTGCCTGAAGGCATTTGAGAGTTACATAGCAAGATTCTCTCTCTCTCTCTCTCTCTCTCTCTCTCTCTCTCTCTCTCTCTCTCTCTCTCTCTCTCTCTCTGTCTCTCTCTGTCTGTCTCTCTCTGTCTGTCTCTCTGTCTCTGTCTCTGTCTCTGTCTCTGTCTCTGTCTCTGTCTCTGTCTCTCTCTCGTACTCCACAGCCTGCGACGGGCCTCTTTCTTACACTTCCTTCTACTCTGGGGCTTCCTCCGGGTTTGTGAAATGCAAGCCTGATAGGCTCACTGACAAGAGTCTGAGCTAATGTGCCCCTCATGCCATCTAAAGCCCTCCAAATCCATCAACTGGATAATGCTGCCCGGAGTTCCTTTTATTTTCTGAAAATGCCCAAACCCCTCCCCAGGTTTCCTCCTTTTGTGTCCCTTCTGCATGGGTTGGGTTTGTTTGTAAGAACTGCCTGCCAACACCTGATCCATCTGAAGCATTCACAAAAGGAACCATCCAACCAAAGTTTCAGGACTCTCTGGAAGATCCGGGGGCCTGCAGAGGTGAGGCCCAGCCTTTGATTTTTCATTCCCACTCTGTACATTCTCTTCTAGATTTTCTTAGGTACTCTCTTTTCTCTAGGTCCTTGAACAATTCAGCTAGGTTCCTGCTTCCAAACCTGCAACACCCCCCCCCAAATGAGATGCCCTCCATTTTAAGGGCAATTTTGCTTATAAATCTGTTCTTAAAATGCATTAGATACAATGTGTACTTTATTCTGATGTGTGGGTAACATCCATAAAATGATTATGATCAATGTATTTACAAATAGGTATTCTTTTATTTTGAGATGGTTCCTGTAGCCCATGCTGGACTCAGATTCCCTCTGAAGCCTTCTGAACAGCCTTGAATTCTTGATCCTCCTGCCTCCCCACCTCCCGACTACTGGATGTGTATCCCTGTGTCCAGCTGATGAGGTGCTGAGTCAAAGCCAGGAATGAGGCATGCCCAGCAAATACTCTTCTAACTGAGCTGGGCCTCAGTCCTGCTGTCATTTATTCTTTTTACACTAAGAATGGTAATGACGACTGAGAGGGAGAACTTTTGAGGGATTTTGTCTCTTCCATTTCACCCACTAACTAGAGAAAGGTTGTTTTGAATTTACTGAAAGTTCCAGGTGTAGGACTTTCAGAATCAAGGGCTGTATAAATTAGCAACCTAAAAAAAATCCTGAAACAATGGCTTTTTAAAACTTTATGGGGATTCTTTGAACACCATTATTACAGAAAAATCAGTGTGTGTGTGTGTGTGTGTGTGTGTGTGTGTGTGTGTGTGTGTGTGTGTGCATGACAGAGAAGGATGAGAGGGAAATGGGATCAGGGACGAAGCCATTCAGGGGAGAAGAGGATGGAGAGGAGGAGGGGCAGGGGGAGACGAGGGGGAGAAGGGAGGAGAGGAAGAGAGGTGGGAGACAGAGAAAGAAAGAGGAGAGAGGTGGAGATATTATTTCATACGAAGTTCGGGGAAGACAAAATCAGAATTGATTGCTATGCACTTTGATTCTAAATCACTTGCAGGAAAAACGTAAAGTCTTAACGCAGAATACTTCATCGTGCAAATTGAGAGCAGTAGTTGTGGGACACCTGCGTAGGGAACAACTCTTTACACCGGGCAAACGGCGCTTTAAAAAGCGACTAGGTTGGAAGGTCAAGACTCAATTCACAAGTCCAGCCGCCACCCAGGAGTCCCGGAGCGCCCGGGCCGGTCCCCACCTCTGGTTGCGGAGCGAACTCCCCGCCCCCGCCGCCGTCCACGCCCCAGTCCCCGCCCGTCCCGTCCTCGCAACCCTTCTTAAGCGTGGAGGGGCGAAGGCCGGGGCATGGTGATTCTGGCCACAGAGCTAGCCACGCAGCCCAGCTCCCTGGAGCTCGCGCAGTCGAGAGCCCAGGTCGTGGTTCCCCGGCGAGCGGGCCGGCACTGCGGGCTCCCCAGCTCTCCGCCTTCCCCGACACCCGGGCGGGCCATGCGCCCGGGCTAGAGCGTAGCCGCCGGCATGCTGCTCCCGGTGGTGCTCGCCGCTCTCTGCCTCGCCGCCTGCCCAGCGCCCGCGCGCGCCTGTCAGCTGCCCTCGGAGTGGCGACCCCTGAGCGAGGGCTGCCGTGCAGAGCTGGCCGAGACCATCGTGTATGCCAAGGTGCTGGCGCTGCACCCTGAGGTGCCTGGCCTCTACAACTACCTGCCCTGGCAGTACCAAGCTGGAGAGGGAGGGCTCTTCTATTCCGCCGAGGTGGAGATGCTGTGTGACCAGGCGTGGGGCAGTATGCTGGAGGTGCCCGCTGGCTCCCGGCTCAATCTTACAGGTCTGGGCTACTTCTCCTGTCACTCCCACACGGTGGTCCAGGACTACTCCTATTTCTTCTTTGTCAGGTGAGCCTGGCCCCTCTGCGGGCTATCTGCAGCAGGTCAGGAGCGCCAGGGGCCGTTGCCCAAGTAGAACATGCCTCAGGCTCTTTTGCATTCTCTCTTGTTCTATCCTCTGTGAAGATCCTGACCACCCTTGGTTGAGGAGTCATGATTTTGGAGTTATGTGCACAACCAGAAGGGTGTCAAAGGCAAAAAAGTTAAAGTACTTTTGTTTATGAGACCAGGTTTTATTGTTTTCCCCGGGCGATCCTCCTGCCTCAGCCCTCAGTGCTGGAATTACAGGCTCATGCTACGACATGCATGAGCATGTGCTTTCCAACCAACCATTTGGTGTATTGAGAGAGATGACCTTTGGAATCAGTTGTCTGGATTCTGGCATTGAACTTCTCAGGTGTGAGTTTTGGGTCAAATACTTCTCTCAGAGTCCCACTCACATTTCACCTCTCCACCAGTTCCCATCTGGCTGAAAGTGAGAAGCAATAGAAGCACCTGAATCTCCCGGGAAAGTCCCGTTGTTTAACGTGCATTCTCTCTCTTCTCCTACCACTTCAATGCCAGACAGCAGCCCACTCTTCATACCTGCTGCCAGGTAATTCAAATGAGCAGAGATTGGGGGAAAGGCAAAAACTCCAGGTCACTGCTTTGAAGAGGTCAGAGGGGCATCAGGCAGGCGGTCCCTTGCAGACGCTATCAACCCTGTGAAGTTCCAGGGAGGTTGACCTATGATCAGCAGGAAATGTATCTGTCCCTAAATTCAGTTCATGCTTATTTGACTACGAAGTTCTATCCAAAGCATGGGTAGAAAACAGCAGGTGGCTCCCCAAGTTTGTGGGTTGCTTCCGATTCAAATAAGACGGATGTAGAACAACTGGGAGAGACATGGATGTAGGAGCTTAGCCAGATTTTAAAACGATCCGTGATTCAATCCAAAGCTTTATGATCAGTGATAGTCCCTGTCTTACCAGCTGTAAAACAGCACCAAGGCTCTTGGGGACCACACTGAGCAGGGGCTGCAGACTGGTTTCAGAATCTCTGAGAAAGAAAACAGCTATGTTCCGCAGAGGGGCATCCTGCAGCTCGCCGCCACATGTGCTTCCCATATTGAAGACAGGCTAAGTTTAGAACGCATGTTCTGCTTTGTGTTGGCTTGAGTGGCTTAGCCAGATTAGGTTGATTTTTTAAATTGTCTGGAAAGTATAGTGTCTAAATAAAGTCAGCCAGGACTGTGCCAGTGTCTTTCTTGATCCAGAGAATCTAACTCAGCCTTTTCATGTTTTTATTTAGGGAAAACACTAAGAGCCCAGCTAGGAAACAACTTGACAGTGCTTTATTTCCCACTGGATGAAAGCCCAAGACTTGAGCAGACAGTGTTGGACGTTTGCTTTTTTCTTTCTTAATCACAAAATGGTCCAGTGACTGTTCAGTGGTCAGCCAATGTTTTCATCTTTTGTGATGACATAATTAAAGAAAGTTAAGACAGACCAACAGTCACACGATACTGTGACAGGCTGTCTTCATGGGGCTGTCTTGCCTTGGAGTAGGCTAATAACGGCACACAAAGTGTTCTCCTCTGATGTTCTGGCCTCTTCCCAGTCTCTTGCTCACTTGCTGTGACTGATAAATGGAAACTGGGGAGGGTTTATTTTGGTTCATTTCAGAGGGTCCATTCCATTGCCATGTGGCCCTGGAGGAACAGAGTCTGTTCACCTCATGGCAAACAGGAAGCAGAGAAGGAATACAGGAAGGGGCCATGGCAGGATATAGACACAATGGCATACTCCTGGTGACTTATTTCTTTCTGAAGCTTTGACAGCCTCCCACCCTAGCTGGGTACCAAGGTTGAGTCCATGAAACTGAGAGGAGGGGGAGCATTCCAAATTCAAGCTGGAACACTTGGATTAAAATGCTTACCTCTTCTGTTCTGACTTCTATTTCTAATAAGCACTTTACACCAGAGCATGTAAAAATGTTGACTAATATTTATATACTTGCATTCACTCTGTGCCAAGTACTTCATTACATTTGTTGTGTTGGATGAGTGCATGTATGTGTATGTGGTGTGTGCTCAGGAGTGTGTGCACACGCAGAGGAAGATGCTGGTGTCTTCCTCTATCATCCTCCACTCTATTGCCTCGATACAGGGTCTCTCATTGACCTGGACGCTCACTGTTTGGGCTAGCCTGGGCTAGCAGTCTCTCAGGATCTGCCTGTCTCTGCCTTCCAGTGCTGGTATTACCAGCATGTACAACCATGACTGTTTTTTAATGTGGGTGCTAGGAATTCAAATTCAGGTCCTCACACTTGACCACGAAGTTCACTTACCACTGAACCACATCTCCAGTCCTGCTTACATTTTTCCCAGTGCAGTCCCTATGATAATACCAAGAAAGTAGGTTCTACTAAAATCTTCCTTGTAGAAGACTGGAAGACTGCTTTAAAGGAAGAAACTTTGAGACTTGAATGTAGCAGTGAGACTTGAATCTAGGTCACATTACAACTGTCTGCCTTCTCACCAAGAAGTAAGGAACACTGTGAGACTGAAGGTCCTGGAGGACTTTGGAAATAGACAGACAGGCATTTGTGCACACATCTTCCTTCCTCCTTGTCTAGATTCCATTCTTAAGAAAACCTTAAGGTTAGACTCAAGTAGTGTACAGTGGAAAACAATTAGACATGCTAACTGTAGGGGTCTCTTTCTGGGAACCATTGCAGACTTCATGATGAAATTAGCAAGATCATCTCTGGCCTTTGTAAACTGAACTGAAGCTGGCCCACCTCCAATAACCTCACCCACATCTCTGCTTTGACCCCTCTCCCTCAGGATGGATGAAAATTACAATCTCTTGCCCCATGGAGTCAATTTCCAAGATGCCATTTTTCCGGACACACAAGAAAACAGAAGGATGTTTTCCAGCCTCTTCCAGTTTGCTAACTGTTCACAAGGGCAGCAGCTGATGACCTCGAGTGACTGGGAGATCCAGGAAGACAACAGGGTAAGAGCGGCTAGACCCTGTGCCTAGGGAAAACAAGAGTGTAACCATACCTTCTAGGAACGTCATAATCAAAGGCATCCAGAATCCTCTTCCAAATTATGTATCCTCCCATGTTTCTTGTAGCTGAGAGAAAATGATGCCCATAGGCTTTGGATACCTGAGGTTTAGTATTTGATAAGGAGTTCTTCACAAAGAAGGAACAAGACGGGAGGAAGGTACACATGTCTATGTCATGTTCCCCTTCTGCAAAAGAGAGAAAAAAGTCATACCCACATCTCACTCATTTGATTTAAATATGTAAATCTCTTGGCATAGTGCTCAAGAGTAAGTGTTCAATGCCTGTAAGCCATTATGGGTATTCTTGTGATTGACAGTTGTTGTGACTGATACAACCACTGTTATAAGGCAGTGGTTGTCAACTTGTGGGTCATGACTCCTTTGGGAGTTGCATATCAGATATCCTGTATATTAGATATTTACATTACGATTCATAATGATAGCAAAATTACAGTTATGGAGGAGCAATGAAATATTTTATGGTTGGGGGTAACCACATCATGTGGAACTGTATTAAAGGGTCACAGCATTAGGAAAGTTGAGAACCACTATAAGGAATTGTCTTGGAAAAAAAGGAAATTACATAAGAGACTTCTCAGAGCTAGCATTCCATGCTTAAAATTTTCTTTTAGATTTATTTTATGTGGATCTTTTCTCCTGAATGTATGTACACCATGTGCATGCCTGGGGCCTGGGGAAGTTAGAAGAGAATGTTGATCCCTAGGAACTGGAGTTAAGGATGGCTGTGAGCTTCCATGTGGGTCCTGGGAATCAGACCCAGGTCCTCTGGAAGAGCAAGAAGGGCTTTTACTTGCTGAGTCTACTCTCCAGCCCCCATTCCATGATTTTTGAAGTGATACACCCTTTAAAGCTTACAAGGTAGAGCAAGTGGCTGTAGTAAAGGTTGAGATTACTTTGAGTGTGGAAATGTAAAGAAATCTTCCAATCTGAGTCAAATGCCAGTTAGGGGGATGTAATGAGCATTCTTCCGGCCAGCCTCATCCCAGAGCTGCATCAACCCCAAATAACACACAGAGACTCTATTAGCTACAATGCTGTCTGCCAATGTCCAGGGCTTCTCATTGGCTAGTTCTGTTTTAAGTATTTTCTGTAATTACTATATATATATATATATATATATATATATAGTATGTACTATATATATGTATGTGTATACATATTTCTATAAGGTCTTGTCTTACCAAGGACGCCACCCTCATGCATCCTCTCTTCCGGGGATCACATGGCAACCTCCAATCTTGACTACATTTCCCAGAATCCTCCTCAACTCCTAGTCCCACCCATCTTGCTTCCCTATTGGCCAACAGTGCTTTATTTATCAACCAATAAGACAAACATATACACAGAAGGACTTCCCCCATCAGGGGGAAATTCTAGGGGTTGTCACTCTCTCTAACAATGACAGTGCCACGATAACACTGACGAGATGAGAGTAAGTCAGACCTGTGGGCTGCTGGCCTATCACTCACTTCCAAAACAGATTTGAAGTTAAGTGACCAATTTCCAGAGACAGGTCTGATGTGGATCTCAAATCAAGCAGTGACCCTATTTTATGGTTTAAAGAATCACCCAGTTGTATCTGGTGGCTTCAGTCTTTCTATCCATGTGTGGAAGGTTTGAGAGGCATGACTCATCTTTTCTGGTGGCTTAGTCTAGGGTAACTGCCTTGTTCCTATAAACGTCATCATCTTCAGCCCCAGGACCCCTGGCTCCAGAACCTTGCTCTTATTCTTTCAGAGAAGCTACTTCTATGATGGACAAGGCAGACAAAAGAAGCTATTCATCTGTTTTTTCATTGTCACAAGTTCCCTGTAGTCTAGGATCTCCTTGTCTGTGTTCTCTACTTTCTGAGACTGTCCTGTGTTTTGCTACAGCACTGTACTTCCCCTCCTCCCTGTTTGTGTATGCAGATATATGTGTGCTGGTGCAGATATGAGGAGGCCAGAAGACTTCTGATTTTGTTCCTCAGACCCAGTATTAGTTAGAGTTTTCTATTGCTTTGACAAAACACCATAACTGAGGCAACTTATAAAATAAAGCATTTAATCAAGCTTTTGGTTCCCGAGGGTTTGAGTCCTTGATGTTGATGGAAAGGCATGGTGGAAAGAACAGCTGATAGTTATCTTGATCCAAAAGCAGGGACTGAGAGAACCGGAAATGGTGCCAGTCTTTTGAAACCTCAAAGCCTACCCTTAGTGATCCACTTCCTGCAACAGAGCCTGCCCCTAGTGATCCACTACCTCCAACAAAGCCACACCTCTTTATCATTTTTAAATGTTTCCACCACCTGGGAATCAAGCATTCAAACACATGAGCCTGTGGGGAATCATTCTCATTTAAGCCACTGCAGGGTACCATCTGCTCCATTCTTTTTATTTTCAGACAAGGGTCTTTTATTGATCTGGAACTCACCCAGAAGGCCCGACTGGCTGGCTCTCCAGTCCCAGGGGTCCCTGCCATCTCTCTCTCTGCTGTGCTTGGATTAGAGGGGTGTGCCACCAAGCCTAGCCTTTTTATATGGGTTGTGGAGGATCACATTCATGTCTTCCTGAGTTCATAAACACTTGACCAACTGAACCCTCTTTGGTCCTGTTTTCCTGTGTGAGCATGCGTGTGTCTGTATGTGTGTATGTGTGTATATATGCTCGAATGTCTTACTTTGTCCTCTGCATTATTTGCTTGCAACAGCATCTCTCAATGAACCTGGGACTAGACTGGCAGCCAGCAAGCCCGATTGACCTTCCTCTATCTGTCCCTGACGGCACTGGGAATTATGGGTTTGCAGGACCCTGCTTAGCTTCTTATACCGGTATAGGAGATTAGAACTCAGGTCCTCATGCTTATGCAACAAGCTCTTTTACTCATGGGGCCATCCCCCAGGCCCCATTTCTCCCTTCTTTGCTGTTCACTGCTCTACACTGCACTGGACTCTACATCAAAGCCTCAGAATTCCAAACGAGTCACACCGAGTCTATAAGGAAATAATTGTTTAGTTTTGGCTTATTTTGTGGGAGATTTGCATATGTATCTAATCCACAATAGCAATAGATCTATGTCAAGAGATCAAATATTACTCCAAGAAAGCTTAAGGGGCTTAGCCCTAAACATCTTCAGCTGCATAACTTATTAGACTTTGTTCACATTTGTTTGGAATTATATTTTCCAACATTAAAAAGGGAGAGACTAGAACAATAGGACTCTGGGGAATAGTTTCAGCGTGGAGGCAGGCCTATTTCTGTGCATCAGATGCTGATCTTGGGAAGACTGATTTTCACCTTTAGTCACTCTGGCCTCTTGTATAATGGAGTGTGGGATTACTGGACACATGGATGAAGTGTCAAAATCTGAAGTCGGGGTGATAACCATTCCAGAATGCTGTTCTGATGGGCAGTAAATTTAAAGGTTCGATTTGGGGCACTCTCAACTTTCCAGACCCTTTCCTTCATTCCATTTTTACTCCCTGCCCTCTTTGAAGAGGACCACATCAGAACTCAATGAAAGAACTCTCTCTCTCCTCCTCCTCTCTCTCTCTCTCTCTCTCTCTCTCTCTCTCTCTCTCTCTCTCTCTCTCTCCCATTGTGCATGTTTGTGCACAAGCGTGTGTGTGTGAGCACCAGGGTCTTATAATGTGGGTCCCATGGCTGGTCTTGAACTTGCTGTATAGTCTAGGTAGGTCTCAAATTCTCAATGGTTCCAGGTCAGCCCCACTAAGTGCCGGATTTGAAAGCATGTGCCACCATCCCTAGAAACTAATTCTTTTTAACATTTAACCCAAGGGCTTGGAAGATGGCTGCTTAGGTAAAAACACTTGCTGCATGTTGTGAGCATGCTAGTCAGAGACACAGAGGAACATGTATGTGTCTTTCTACCATGTCACAGTTTATTGAAGAGCAATGCATTCTCAAGATCCAGAGGTTCCAATGAAATCAGCTTGAAAGATTATCCTAGTAATCTGGCTGAGGTAAATGTAGGTTCTTTTATTCTAACCTTAATTAACTCTCATGCCACACATCACACTGGTTAGTATATATGCATATATATATATTTATATGTAGTTTACAGAACGAATACAAGTTAACGAGGCTGCGGGAGAGTACGAAAGCTTTCAGAAGTAGGCTGGGGGAATCTGTTGACAACATGCAAGCCAGATCGGTGCTGGGAGGTGGCTGAAGTCAGGGTTTGAGAACAAGGCTACAGAGTTCAGCTGTGGTAGAAGCCCGAGCAGGAAACTGCAGTATCCTAGTTTGTACTTTGGTTTCTATTGCTGTGTTAAAGACCACGACCAAAAGCAAGTTGGAGAGGAAAGTGTTTATTTCGTCTTACAGACGTCGGAGCAGGAACCTGGTGGCAGGAACTGCAGCAGAGGTCACAGAGGAGGAACAGTGCACCCTGCCGTGCTCCCCACGGCTTACTCAGCCTGGTTTCTTCTACCCCTTAAGACCACCTGCTCCAGGGTGGCCTCCACCCCCTTCATCAATCACTAATCAAGAGAATACCTCAAGACCTGCCTACAGGAAACCTGTTGGTTGCGTCATATTCTCAGTGAAGGTTCCTTCTACCTAAGCGACTCTAATTTGTGGCAAGTTGACAAAAACCAGCATGGGCTGTTTCAGGTCCAGGCTCACATGACTGGATGGGCAGTCAGTTGAGTAGGCTGTGTTAAGAGAAGCTTTCCTTGAGAGGAGCCTTCCCGCCCGCCTGGTTCCAGATCCGCATCAGTCCCAAATAATAACACAGGAGGCTATATTAATTATGAAGCTGTTGGCCTTGCTTGTCTCTTACTGGCTAGCTCTGACTTAAGTAATTACCCCATAATTATTAATCTAAGTATTTCTCTTACTGGAGAATAGTTCCGGGCTTCCTACCCCCATGGCGTTACATCTTGAATCCCTGTTTCTCCTTCCCAGAGTTCTCCTGGACTC